TTAATTCTTTCATTTGGGATACAAGTTTTTCAAGCTCTATAGCATCATCACATAATTCTTCTTGTTCCGTAGCGATATTTGTGGTTTCATTATATAGTATGTATAAAATTTTTATATACGATAATTATATTTCTCGATAATTTTCTTATTTTATTATTATATTTTTAATCGAATCAATCAATTAATTTTTAATTTACATTCAACGTGCTTTTAATAATTATTAAAAAAATTTTTTTTTCAAAAAAATTTTTTTTTTTATCGTAAAATTCAGATCGATCAGCACATTGAATTGACATCTGTGCTGGTTTAAATAAATGTATCAACCAATTATGAGTAATCTAAGACTTTTCGATCTATGACTTTTTAAAGTAAAAAAATATTTATGCAATTCCTAAATTAGTAGCATAAATGAGTGTCGCTAAAAAAAAACCCGAAAATTTAAATATAAGTCATATTTAAATTTTCAGGTTTTCTTTTAGCGACACTCAAATCATAATTGTATGAACGTGAAATGGTACGTACGTATCGATTCTGATTATAAATCAGCATTTAAAATTACATATAAAACATACATCGACAAATATAGTTAACACAAGCTTTTTACCGGGTATTTTTTTGTTACCGTATCACGTGTGGTTTTTAAATTTTAGGCTAGCTGGCATAATTATGGTCACATAATTCTGGTCAGTTTGCATAATAACTAATTTAATGATTTTTGAACTGAAAATTTAACCCATTATTTTATCATTGAGTATATGAAAAATATGAGTGCTGCCAAGGAAAAAAGAAACAACCGGCATTATACTATAAAATTTTTCAAAATTTTAATCAGATATGAGTGTCGCCAAAAGAAAACATGCACATTTATATACAGTATATACTATATATAAATGTGCGTGTTTTCTGATCCTCTCCACTGGTAAGCAGTTTAATGGCAATGTCTTCCCAAGTTGGTAGATATCCTGACCACAAGTGTTGGTCTCGGCCATAGCATTGCTAGTGATGCAACTAGAATTTATTTGGGCATCCATTAGGCAGCCAGATAAATGTTGAAACTCTGAGTTGGGTTAACATAACCTAGTTCTAAGTTGTAATATATTTCAACAATTATACGATCATATCTAATAAAGAGTTCACCAGCTTTCCAAGCCAAGTTTAAAAAAAAAAAATTAATATTAAAATTTTATATCTAATATTTAAAACTTTATTTCTGACTAAATTTTTAACCAATTTTAATAAATTTACTGCTATTATAATCAGAAAACTCACTCTACAAACTTTATATAATAGTTAAAATTAATTTAATAAATTTTCATAAAATTAAATATAAAAAAATTGCCATTAAGTTTATATATAATTTAATTTTGACCAATCAGAGTTTTTGTTAATTAGCCAATCAAAACAAATTTTCATATGCTATGGTGCGATGCCTAATTAAGTTTTACATTAATCAATCCGAATCGGGCATTTTGTACTACCTAGAAAAATTTGAGACATATTTTTTTTAATAAAATAATATCGTCCATAAAAATTTTATTAGTGACACATTTTTATTACCTATCGCTATGTTAATATAAAGTTCCGATTTACCATGCAGATTAATTGACATTACCCCCTACCCTTAAAAAATTGAATGTTTTTTGCCGTCTCGTACGTAGAATTATATTGTACAATTTAGTAATAGGTTGTCGATTAACCTCGTTGTTCCAACATATAGAGCACCAGAGAGGATAGCTCCATTTTCACCAACTTCGTCAAGTTCTTCTAAACTTACAGGATCTGCAAGTGATAGATAATCTAATTTTACGGAAAACCCCAAATTTTGATCTTTAACATATTTTGATTTATTTTCAATATGATCATACGCAGGAATAAGAAGATTTTTTCGATCTCGAATATTTTGTTCATATGCGTGCTTTACCATGTTCAAGCTTTGATATAATGTTGTGGCAACTTTACGCATTTCAGGTGTGAGATATCTATTTCTAGAACTCATAGCTAACCCATCTTCCTCCCTTACAGTAGGTCCAACATGCAGTTCCAATGGAAAATGCAAATCTCGAATCAAATTCTTAATAACTACACATTGTTGGATGTCTTTCTGACCGAAAAAAACATGATCAGGCTGGACAATATTAAATAATTTTGTAACCACTGTTGCAACACCACGGAAAAACGTAGGCCGAGTTTTGCCTTCCATCTTTTTCAATGATAAAAAAGTTATTAAAATATATATCACCATTCCTATATGTTATCCAAACCTCAAAAAAAAAAAAAAAAAAAAAAAACCAGAAAATATTTCGCAAATATACCGGGTGTTAGAAAAGTCATTAAAAAGTCACTTTTTTTAGTGACCTTATGTATAAATGATAATGATAAATCATCATTATAATAATAGTAATTTTTACATAAAGTCACTAAAAAAAAGTGTTTAAACATCTGGTAGGATCCATAAGAATATGTACTATTAATTAAACAAAAGATGAATAAAATTTTGTGAGCACTAACTTGGTTGGCTCACCAAAATTAACCTTGAATAGACAAAATTTTGATAATCTTTTTGTTCTTTTTTTTTTAAAAAAAAAAGATAAATATCAGGGGCAAACATTTACCGTATCGTCGCGAAATAACGTCCCGTTATTTTGAGATATATTGTTTGAAGAGAGCTAATAATTGATTTAAAGGGAATGCTGTTTATTACGTAGTTTCTTTTTATTAGAAGGTCTAACCCCTCCCACCTAGGTGATCGAATTAGCAACCAATCATAATTTTATATATAACATATAGACGCTAAGCTCCCCCTCTTAAATTACTAACGGATGACTTACAATAACAAAAAGGTATAATTCGCATTCGGTTAAATTATTATTAGTTCTCTTCAAGCAATATGTCTCGAAATAACGCCCAGGGAGTTATTTCGCGACGATACAGTATTACGTAATGTTCTAAGAGGTAGGAGGTCAAGAAATTTTTGATCTAATATTTAGAATATCAGAGTTTTATAAATTAAAGAGGTAAGCTTCTATAGTAAATAGAAATTCTGTAATTTATGTCAGTGCTTTATAGATAATGCAAAAACTATTGTTTCATTATTTTAAGATTTGAGGTTTGGCCGGAAACTACTTTACAAAAATCTTACATTTTTCCGATAGCATTAAACCATTCTAGATCTATTAAGATTATAGGTCGCCAAGAGGAATTTTCATAGTAAATCGTGAATTTAGTTTCTTACTAGCACTATTAACGAGGTTTTAACGAGGTTTTTTGACGAAATACGAAAAATCGGCAGTTTTTCAAAAAACCTCGTTAAAACCTCGTTAAATTTGTTAAATTTGTGATTTACTATGAAAATTCCTCTTGGCGGGCTATAATCTTAATAATTTACACTAGAACTAGAATATTTTAATGTTACCGCAAAAATAGAAGTTTTTGTAAAATATATACATTACATTTAATCGACTATATTAGCGTTTTACCTGATGCGATTTTCCCTTTACTTCTACAAAAGTACCAAGTTGTTTTTCCACATCTAAATGAATTCCAGTTGGGTAGATATCTTCAACTTTTGGAATAAAAACAGTATCTACACAATTTATAGCGGATAACTTAGCAAGGTCATCAGATAAAGTTCGAGGATACTTATCAAGATCTTCATTAGGTGCAAATTGTGCGGGATTTACAAAAATAGAGACAGCGACAGCTTGACAAAGTTTACTTGCTTCTTTCACTTAATAAACAGAAAAAAACAATATTAAGCGTACGATATTTATAACATAAATACATTTTAGAAATATTTACTTAGTCCCAAGTGTCCTTCGTGTAAGCAGCCCATAGTTGGAACAAAACCAATGAGCTTTCCTTCTCGAACCATTTGGCGATGCCAATTACGCAATGGATTTATATTTTCAAAAATTTGCATATTCTTTAAGATTGAACTTTTCATGTATGCTATAATCACATAATCTCATTAGATGTTCCGTGAAGAAATTTTTTGTTTAATATTTGCATGTATTTATTTTCAGGTGTTGGAGCTGAAAGATTAGTGATTTTTTTGTGACCAATAATGATAAGGTTTATCTGCAGTAATTTCTAATGAAAATTGTGATAATCTATTAAACCCCGTTCTAAGCAAGTTCAACCAATCAGAATACAACAACACGTAAACAATTTTTGTAAACTTTGAATTAAGTTTTCTTAATAACTACCTGGCAAAATTCTATAACCTTTTTTTAATTCTACACATTCATACAATTAAGATAAAAAACTTTTATCAAATTTTGTCTGATGGTTATCGAGAAAAGTTTAAAATAATCTGTTCTGTCTATCAGTAAATTAAGTGCTTTTGAATTTTTTTTTAAAACTTTGAACGATAATTTCCTGACTAAATTCGATGATTTTTTTGGGGGAATTTACACATAAGGACCCAAAAAATGAAAATAATTACGGATGAGGGCCCAAAATAAAATTCTTACATATCGATATAGCGGCCCAAAATCAAAAATTATTACAAATGAGTGTCGCTAAAAGCAAACCCGAAAATTTAAATATGACTTATATTTAAATTTTCGGGGTTTCTTTTAGCGACACTCAAATAAACCCTGTCTGATCTCCGAGCTGTACTAGGTGACTAAGCGATAAGACTTACATAACGCCGTCTAAAAAAAATGGTAGCCGGATTTTTTCTGGCTTACCGAAAACTGATTGCCGGTAAAGTTACGTTTATCATGCTTAAACTTTAGAACTTTGATTTTTATTTGACCTTTGTTTTATTTTCACTTGGTCTTCGCTTTAACTTCATTTTGATTTTTACTTTGATTTTCGCTTTGAATTTGACTTTCGCTTTGACTCTCACTTTGATTTCGCTTTAATTTTCGTTTTGATTTTGACTTTCGTTTTGATTTTGACCTTCTCTTTGACTTTCGTTTTGACTTTTACTTTCATTTCGAGAATTTTGCCGTGTTGTATTCACAAAAATATAATTTTGATTAATCGTTTAAAAATAAGCTGTTTAAGTTCGTGAATATTTTCATACTTTATTTATTAGTAAATACAAAGGATTTTTAAAGTTCACAATAACCACAGCATGTTATATTTTTTTATTCGTGTTATTAGTTATGTATAATGATCTTTATAATCTCATAAGTTTGTTAGCGAGATTCGTGAATAGTAGTACCTTTAGTTTTTTCAAAAAAATTAATTGCATCTTAAAGCTATTGTATAATTATTTTAATCCGGCTACCATTTTTTTCTGGGTGACGTGATGTAAACCTTGTGGCATAGTCGACTAGTATAGCTCGGGGATCGAACAGGCCCTTCTTTGTAATAATTTCCGATTTTGGGCAGCTATATGTAAGAAATTTTTATTTTGGCCCTTATCCGTAATTATTTTTATTTTTTGGGCCTTAATGTGTAAATTCCCCCTTTTTTTTTTTTGCTTTAATTCTATGAATGTGTAGAATTAAAGTAAAAAAGCAATTCATCGAATTTGGTTAGGTAGTTATCGAAAACTTTGCTTAAAATTTAGAAAGAATTTGTCCCTTTTATTAGTAAGCTAATTTTTCTTTAACCTTTGAGAGAAGCATTTTCGATAATTTTCTAATCAGGTTACATGAATTTTGTTTATTTTAATTCTACACATTATTATAATTTTATCGAATTTTGTTAGTTGTCAAGAAAACTTGCTTAAGTTAGAAGAATCTGACCCGCAAATTTAATTTTTCGCTTTGCATTACTGCCGACCCAAATTTTCAAAAACTTGAATTTTTTTTTTAAACAAAAATAATGATATTTATTTTAATCGTTTTAATGAATTTAATTCAAAAAAATCAATAGTTATATAATCAAAATATAAAGACATACAATTCTAATTCAGAAAAATAGTACAATATCGGATTGGTTAAATTAATGGATAGGAGCACACTGTACTACCGGTAGTACATTGTACTACATTGTGACGGTTTTTGAAAACTCATATCTG